CTGATGGTGTTGAATGTAGAATAAAGAGTTTTAAAATGTTCATATCAACCAAACACCCCTCAATAGGGGAAACACTGTTACATAAGCTACAATGACCAATCAACAGGTCAACAATCTAGCACATACATATAAAACATGAGTGTTGGACATCTTGAGGCAGTGTAATAGCAAGCTTGTCTCATTAGAACAATTACAACTGAGTAGTGACTTCAATCCTCACTGGGTGCTCCATACATTCAGTCTTGTGTCACATCTAAGCACCACTTGGAAAATCACTATAACGTGTGTGTACACACATACAATACGAAAGTGTGTTATTTGTTGGATGTGTTATATTTTTCCTACAGGCTGCATGTGTATATTCAGAATTTTATGTACCATTGGCAAATACACAAACGACATGTCATAATTTTTGTTAGTTTATTTTGTGTGTCTGGTGAGGGGGGAGGCTACACGTCTAACTTGTTTTGTTGGCAGAGTGGGTTGTTCAGAAATTGACTGGTTCCTTTGGCATCAGGATGTGCACCTGATCCAATCTCTTTTAGTGAAGTTGGGAGATCCTGTCTTTGAGATGGCTCTTGGAACCAGGATTCAACACTTGTTAGCTTACAACCATGAATAACCAGAACCTTCCTCACTCCAGCAAGGCCAGGTAAACATATTGGGATTATAATTTAGAAATACTCTTGATAAGATATTTATTCACTTGATCAAGATTTCAGTATATTCTGATGTATTGTATAATATATAATATTGATTATGCTATTGAAACACTGTATAATATATATAACAATTTTATTTTCCTACCAGATTCAAAACTTAGTAGAAACAGCAAGTCCCTATAATAGGCACAAAATTACAAAAGTCAACCAGTGTGTAAAATTTTAAAAAGAAAAAATGCATTTATTTTACAATATTACAAAAGAAAAGTACAGATAAAAGGTTGCACAAAAATTTCTTTTTGTGCACCTATTATGACAGGATAACAATTTTCTGAGGCCACAAAAAAGGGATTATCATCAAGTACAAGGAAAAATTGTTACTTTTTTTTGAAAAAGACACAGATTCAAAGACAAAAAAAGATTACACCCTTAGGGAAAAACTTAGAGGAAGCAAGAAACTGTACAAGGCAGAAAATACAAAATTCATTCTTAATTCAATAATAGGACGTCTCAGCATGGAGGGGTTTTGTGTTTTCACAAGTTGTTATCTGAAAGGCCTTTTGAAGTATTTTGCTGGAAGGTTAACTTGAAAGTTCTTTCGGTTTAAATTCTTCTCAGGAAGGCACAGAAAGAAATGTTCTGTCCTGGGTTTTGAATCTGCCTTGAATCTGTTAAATCAGTCAGCTCTTTCTTTCCCTGTGTTGATTTATTACTCCTTTAGCTGGACCAGTCCTCTTGAAGCATGGGCACTAATGCCTTCTTCCTCAATGGTTAAGTGCCTTCTTGACAATAGTTCCTTCTATCTGCTGTTTATCCACTCATAGCTATTTTTTTTTTTTTTTATTATTCAAAAGCAGGGTCAAACCAACTCTGTCCAGAATTTCATAAGGGCTTTTAAAATCTTGCCTCTCACTGTCTAAAATATATATATATATATATATATATATATATATATATATATATATATATATATATATAATTAATGAAAAACAGACCACTTTTAAGGTGCCATTACAATAATTTATTTCACCAAAATCCTTTTAAAGGACTCCGGATCATCAGGTAACACTTCCAACAACGAAATGAAATGAAAAATGAGATTAAAAATTGATGGGTAGTGTAAGTTTTTGTAATTTTAAGGGGGGGATAGTTAAAGAGACAAGGTAGAGTATAAGGAGGGGTTAATTTCATATCTCTTGTAAGTGTGCTTTATATTGGGGTAGGAGGAGTGACCAGACCTTGACCTATTTAGATGGTTAACTTAACGGAAATGATATATAGAAATGGGAGGGGAGTAGGGAGAAAAGGAAAAATGAAAAAGAGAGAGAGGAGACAGAAGACAGTAATACAGATATATACAAATGAGTGTTACATTTTTCCTATTGACCTGAAGAAATGTGCTTCTGAACTGGCTCCTGTCCTCTCCGAATGAAGATGAAAATGCTGCTCTGAATAGCAAAGTGTATAATAATGGTAATTTCTCATTTGAAAAACTCCCATGTCAACTGGGGCTTTAAAATACACTGACTGCAACTCTGTAGATGGGTAAAACTCCTCCTTCCCCAATGTAGTGATCTGGGTATAATGATAAGCTACATCTGGCAGCAAAGCCTCTAATCAGGTGATTTTGAGGAGTATGGAACCACTTAATTGGTGGTGTTCCCAGGTCCAACCTGACCTGTAGTGGTAGTTCCTGTTAAGGTCCCTGCTATGGGCAAATAGTTAACTCTCAAACTGGGGTTAAAAAACTATGGAAGTGTAAAAGTAGATTTTTATAGTAAAATACCAGCAATACATTTTGGAAAAAAAAAAAAGAAAATCGTTTTTGGGAAAAAATTATTACCAGTAATACATTTGACTCTTGACAAAAATCCTCTTTACAAAAATACATCAATGAAACCTGATCTATAAACCGATATCTTACAAACAATGCGTATTTTATTCAATGAATTTGTTGTAAAAAACAATCTTGTCGGCATTAAATAACACATTGAAGTTGATATGCCGTAAAACAAAACAAGCCAATCATTTCAAAGATTCTGACAAATGTAACCAAGATAAACATGCTGATCCAAATATTATCCAGTTGCTTCTGTTTGACTGAGGGTAAAAGATGTATAAATGGTTAGCAGTTGAATTTACTGTTAGTGACACATTGTGGAATACTGGTGTTATAATTCAAGTTTGTTACTTTACCAGTTAAATACAAATGTACCCACCCTGTTAATGATTAAATTTTTATTTACAATTTCTAATTTGGATTGTTTCTCCATCATTGGCAAGGTGGACATACCATATAAATTGCCTATTAAAGGAGGATTCTTGTTTGCTAAAATGGCTGGCCCACACCAAGTGGGGTTAGGGATAAAGAATTGAAATGGTACATCTCACTCATGTCTTCTCTCCCCCCTCACTTCCTCAATTTACATACGCTTAATACAGCCCATCAAAAATGTATAAATTTCTTTTCATTTTTCATTTCAACCTTAGGAAGTAAAGTCTGATGATCCAGAGCCCTTTAAAAGGGCTGTGGTGAAATAATTTATTACATGGAACCTTAAAGTGGTCTGTTTTTATTCAAAAAAAAAAAAAAAAAATTATATATATATATATATATATATATATAAATAAATCAAGCCATCAGTAATTACACAGGGTTGCCTACCCTGAGTAATTACTGAACTTTTGTGACCTTTATGTAGTAAATCTACAAAAAAGAAAATATTTTGCATTTTATACATACACAAAGCAACCTTCATAATTTTGTTGGATTAGGACTATATTGTGCTACAAGAGGAAAATGTAGGCACTACCTATGTAGACACTATGTATCTGAGATCTGTAATATATATAGTATAGCTGGCCATTCGTATTTGAGGATACCCGTCTACTAGGGCAGTTATTCAATCCTTATTGCAGATGCTTGGTCAGGTGCATTTGTGTTTATTTTTGTGGTTTATACTGCAACTATGCTGGGCAGACCTTAGTTATAGTTTCTGGGAAAGAGCGTGTTATCTAGCATGATCAACAATTTGGACAAGGCCAGCATGCTCAAGACTTCTGTCACGATGACTTGTGACTTTGTGCTAGCACAGCTATTGACGGCCCCCAAGGATTCTGTCTACCCAATCTTACTCGTAAGGCTTGGGTCAACCCGTGGTATGGTTTTCAGGCACTTTCCAAAGGTGCCACACACTGGGACTGACCCCTCTAGTCTGATAACATCAGGAAGTCTCCTTCCTGACAAATCAACCATGGTGAGATTCGAACCCATGTCTTATGGTCAGAATGTGAAAGTTCTAACCACTCAACCATGTGCCTATATATATATATATATATATATATATATATATATATAAAAGAATAAATAATATGAAAAAAAAATAATTTCACCCCTAGCAAGATGATAGAAACCACTGGGATACAAGGGGTTACAGAGAAAACAATAAAAGAACTTTAGACAAAAGATGACAATTGACATAAAAATCTGGAAGAGAATTCCACAAGCAAGAAGTGTTAATATAGAACTTATGGTTACAACTAGCAATTTCAACAATGTAATGATGAGACCTAACTGCCAATCTTGTACTGCACTTAAATTTATGAAGTTGAGGTACCAACAGAGAAAGCTCATCAGAACAATTGTCATGAAAATATTTTAGAAGGGTGGAAAGGGAAGCTATATTATGGTGGTGGGAAAGTGCCTGAAGCTGAGATGCCATGTTAGGACCATTAACATTGCTGATTCATTTGGGATTTTTGTCAAGAATCTGTAGATATAAAACTGAAGCAAAAGATCAGATGTGACAGAAAAATAATTTTGGAGAATTATAACAACTGTCTTTTTTTCTTTTCTTTTTTTTTTTTTTTTTTTTCCCCTTTCTCTTTTTTTTCCCCTTTCTCTTTTTTTCTTCCCTTTTTTTCCCTTTTTCTAGGAATTTTGAATTGTTGATTAAAAGATGGTATTGTAATTTTGCATTTGAAGTTGAAAATTAAATTGATCTAAATCTTTGGCTGATAGAAATCCCAAATCATGTACCAATGTTCAATAAAAGATATATGTTGAAGTGTTCTTGCAAGGCAATTAAAATAATATTAGTATAACAGTCACCAATTTTCACTTATTTTCTAAATGAGGTAAATTATTAACTTAAGAAAATAAGGACTTTTCTTAAACTAAAATTATTATTTTTTTTTTTTTTTTTTTTTTTTTGTTGCCTTCATAAAGATGAAGCTGTTCCTTTCAGTGAATCGTCATGTTAACCAATTCTACTCTCTTGCAAATATGAAATCATTGATAGCTCAATAAATATTTTTGGCTTTTCTTTTCTCTGCAAGATTCGTCTAAAAAGCCAGGTGAGAGGTTTTCATATCTTCATTCACCTCAACTAGATAACTTTTCATCTAAGACTGCTCTCACTATCCAACTAAACCATTTCATCATTCATGACTCTCCTCTCCCTAGCGACCATTCCTACCTTCCCCGATTAGCATGTTCTCTCTTCTCTTGCTATGAAAGCCCTATATAAGAAAATAAGTTGAACACAGTTTGGTGTTTGTTTGCCCTCCACATATATTACCTGTTAGGCAGAAACTCCTGTATGAAAAAAGATAAACCCTTTCTGAGTGTTTTCTTTACTGTGTGTTAATTTTTGCAATTTAATAAATATTATTTGTCATATCACAAGTCCCATAACCCCATTAGGGTCATAGAAGCACTACATGTACTGCAGCTGTGGTGTGTCTAGAACAAGATAGTTTGACAGAGTTCATCCTTCTTTAGACGGTTTTTGAATTCAGTTTTCCTTCTAGACTGGTTGCCTCTTCAGAGCTCAGTCAGCCATTCTATTTAACTCATAACTAGGAAAAGAGATGGATTTATATCTTTCCAAAGGGTATTTAAGCGAAAGTAGACATAATGAACTCAACCTGATTTCAAACTCTGTGTTTACCAATTTCTCTTTGTGAATCACTAACCATTACACTATTTGTACATCCTTTGGTGGAAGCTACAATATTTTATAAGTATCATGAAACTTTTTAATGAAGTTTTACTTATGTGAAACAAACTTCCTCCAATGCTTTTTTCTAGCTCTTGAATCTCTTTCTCTTCGCTAAATGTAACTTAATTGGTCATGAAACCAGGTGTCAGAAGAGAAAAATTGTGATGTTCCAATCTCCTGATTGGTATTTGAAATCCTGTCTCAACACTCAAATACCAAATACTAGTATTGGTAGTAGGAACACTTTACTTTAACCACCAAACCTATTGGAAACACTAAAAAGTCCTTTGAGAAACGCTCTTCTTGGTGGCATCCATAAATCATAAACTATAAGGAATGAATAATTTTAATTAATTTTGATGTATGTTTTCTCTAAGCTAATGGGGTCATAGCATTATCACATGCACTGTAGCTATAGCAGCAGTGACATGTCCAGGGCAAGATAGTCTGATGACGCCCATCCCTCTTAAGGCTGGTTTTGGATTGAGTTTTCCTTCTCCTAGGCTGGTTGCCACCACAGGGCAAGAAAGCCCAGTTAGCCCTGCTATTTAACCCTTTTGATTTGACTGTTGCACAGTTTGGGTAATTAAAGATCTTTATTTTTATTAAGTTTATGAGACCTTCAATAAGCAATACTCTTTAGATCCAGTGAGTTTATAAACACTGTCTTAAGGGTTGGAAAAAAATAGATTATTTAAAGATATTTTCTTAGGAGTATATATCCCACTGGGATGTGCAGGTGGTATAATTGTTTGTGGCTTGCGATGAAAAATCTGCAAAGCTGACTTTGAATTCCAGTTGAGTTTGTTATATTCACTTTTATTCAAATACCTTTAGGAAAGATATGAATCCATCTTTACTTCCCTCAGTTATGGGTTAAATAGTATGACAGACTGGGTTTTTCAGCCTTTGTTGGCAACCAGTCTAGGAGAGGGACAACTCTGAATTCAACACTAGTTGGTCATGTTGTTAGCACTTCCATTCCATAAAAACAAACTATTTGCTACATAAACCACAGCTGAAACATCTCACACAGTGATTCTCAACTGCCATTTGTCCTGGGTATGATGTTAAACTACATCAAACAACAAGGCCTCTGTTTGGGAGGTTTTGAGGAGTGTGGAACGACATCTTAATTGCTGTTGTTTCCCTGTCCACCCTGACCCAGGGTGGTAGCACCTGTTAGCGTCCCAACTATGGACAAATAGTTAACCCCTAAACTTGGGTCAAAATATAAAAATATATTAGAAAAGATTACTGGCAATACATTTTCATAGTAAAAAAAAAAAAAAAAAATTTAAATTACCAGCGATACATTATTGGAAAAAAAATTGCCAAAGCTCACAAGAGAAAATTTTGGGATTAAATGACCCATATGGAGTTGATATGCCATTAAACCAAACAAACAAAAATCAACTACTGTGCTATGGCACATTAGTCTGCCATACAATATTGTCACAGCATACCCGTGTGTGTGAGAGAGAGAGTAGTAATGGTACTGTGTTAGTATTTTACTAAATAAACTGCACATATAGTTGAATAGAAACATTGAATTAAAGTAAGTTCATGTCTTTAAATCTTTGGTTTTATTTCATAACATTTAAATGTATATCCTTTAAAAGTTTTGCTGAGTGTGCCATGATATTCTCATTTGTTCTTAGATGTGCCATTGTTTAATAAGGTTGAGAAACACTGATCTAGTGTGTTGACAGCTGTAATTTCACCTTCTTCACTGGAGTTGAGTGACTGAAATATCCCATTAGAATTGAAAAGGCTAATGAAGGAATACCGAAGTCTGTGATATTTTCGTATTAACCATATACTTCAAATTGTTTTCCTGTGTGAATGAAGAGATGTATTTGTGAGGGGAATATGATTGCCTTGCTGATGCTTCTGCCTTACAGGTGATATTTGGGGGAATCATCAAATTATAACATGACCACAAGAACAAAACCAACTATTTGTAATTTTATGCTTGACTGAATGATACTAACTCTGAAATTAATTGAAATATTGATGCTGCCAACATAAAATGTTGCTCTTTCTTTCTTTTTTTTTTTTTTTTTTTAAAATCAAGGATATCGATGTCGTCTTGCTTTTTAAAATATCTTGTCACTGTTGCATGGAAGCAAAATCTCAGGCTTTATTTTCAGATAAAATGGATGACCACCTTTCTTTTGCATATTCCTATTTCTAGCATGGTTTTTCTACTTTCTTTACATTTACATTCTACAAGAGATTGGTGACCTCTGATAAACAATGAAACGGGTTGATCTTTCATTGTTCTTTAATATTGTATATTTGTCAATAGGTTATTGAAAATTTCTACAAAGCAATCTTGCAGCAGCATGGGACAATAACTCTGTGCATTAAAAGTATTGGTTTGTGAATTTGGTGACATTGTAATTGTGAGTTCAATCCTTGGGCTGGGACTCTGGAAACTGGGCAAGAGATTTTTGTGCATAGATAAATATGTGAAATCATTGAAAATAAGAATTGGCAGTAAGAGATGCTTTTGGAAGATGGACATGAGCTTTGGTCTGTTCACCAATGGTTGATGAAATTGATGATCAAAAAAAAAAAAAAAAATTTTTAAAAATGTGAAGTTGGCTTGAAGTTCTTGAAATTTGTTTAACAGTAAATTTCTTTTTATGTAATTAAGATTTAAAATTTTTTGACTTAAATTTTTATATTCTTTCTTGTTTTAGTTGATTTCTCAGCTGTTTTCACTTGATTTTCTTTTCAAAGTTTCCCTCAAAGCAAAGTTGATAGTGTAATTATCATTAGTTTTCAAAGTTTCATGAAGGATTATTTTTCTTAACCTACATGTTAAGAAAAATTAACTATGAAGTTTTATTATACAGTCAATCAGTCAGTTATGTGCCATGACTGGTGAGACAGATTTTTTTTTCCTGCAGTAGATTGCTATTTTTTCTGCCTTAAACCAGTTGCCATCCAATGTTATAGAACTGAGTTTGTCCTGCTATTTACCCATGGCTGGAGGGAGAAGAAGATTCATACCTTTCCCAAGGGTATTAGCACATATCTGAATGTAATAGATTCAACTGAAATTTGAACTTGGCTCTCCGATTCCTCAATCCGAACCACTATCCATTATTCCACCATGCCTCTTAATATACAGGGTGTCCCAAAATAATTGACATCATTTTGTAGTCTAATAACAGCTAATTCTCACTCAAATGATCTCAGATTTCGCCAAATGTGTAAAAACTATGTGGACTTGTCACAATGAGAATCTACCAGGAAGATGAATTGGGCATGCCAGTAATAATGACAATGTACTGTTCAAATGGCCACCACATTTACCTGATTTGGCACCTTGTTATTTTTTTTTATAGGGCTATGTGAAAGGACAGGTCTATATCCCCCTCTTCCTACAAGACTATACGAACTTAAGCAAAGAATTACTGAGGCACTGGAGAATGTAATGCTAGACATGCTACAGCGTGTTTGGCAGTTTTTGGTTTACTGACTTGTCATGTCCTAGGTGGTGTGCATATTAAACATTTGTGAAGCTTTGTGAAATCGTTTATAAAATCTATATCCTTTGAATATTTTGTCTGAAATTTAATAAATCTTTTATTGTTCAATATGCAGCCTATTTAATTTTGTTTGCTTGGGCCATGTAGTTACTCAGATATTCACATTTTAAATGATGTCAATTTTTGGAAGGACACCCTGTGTATTTTATATATATATATATATATATATATATATATATATATATATATATATCCTGGCAGTTGATTTGGTATCAAGTAAAGATCCTTTTCTCTTTCTTGTTTGTTTATTTTGTGTCTAGAAATGTCAGGGATTCACCAAATCATTATTTGGCTGGCATAGACCTAGCCTGTTTATGAAGCTCATTTTAAAATTCTGAAAGAGGAATTTTCCATATACAATAACAGATGGAACAGATATAATTACCTGCAGGATTATTGTTATAGGTAACAATTGCTGGCTGTATGTCGGCAGCTTAATTGGTCTTCATATGTTTTAGACCACACAAGCTTTTGACAGTCTTACCACATTCCAAGTGTTTATATTTCAACATAATCTCCTTTGTCAATGCACTTAATTCAGTAGTGTATATTAATCACACATATTTAACATTGAAGAAATTTTGAAAAAACAAACAAAAATCCTTAAATGTAGTTAAATGAAAAAATTTCTTTCATTAAACTACATTTAAGGATTTTTGTTTGTTTTTTCAAAATTTCTTCATTCTGTCGGATTTATATCCATTTACACTTGCTTATATATTTAACATTGTATATTGAAAATTTCAGATCAAAATTCAACAAAAAAAAAATGTTGGATTATGGATTTACT